ACCAAGTTTAGCTCTGTGGTAAACTCATCAAGGTCAGACTCCCCGGTGGATTCTGGGGAGCCAGTTAGATGACTCTTGCACAAAGCAAACCCTTCTGACTGAGCCAGTTTGATCACAGGGTACGAGGAATATAATTATGTTGGCAAGGCACAATTTTCCTGTCCCTGACCCCAACATCATTCCTACTTCGTGACCCAACAAATAGATGTGAAATGACCCAACATTTTCTACTTCTAATTCAGTCATCCCAGCCCTGGTTACCAGGTTAGTAGGTCGGTGATTTTTGTTATCCTACTTGAGCTGAAAAAGAGCGGCAGAAGGAGAACAGGAGTGGGGTGTAGAGGCACAGTTAGACTTTCTTTCAGATTGCCTGTTCTTTATTTCATGTGTGTCTGTGTGCGTGCGTGTGTGTGTGTGTGTGTGTGTGTGTGTGTGTGTGTGTAGGGGGATGTCTTCTGTAGTCAGATTAGAACTCAAATTATAACTCTGCCTCTTTCTAGTAAGACATTGTACTTGTCTGTTCTTCCGGTTTTCCCATTGTGGGGAGTGCAGACAACACACACCTGCCTCCTGGGAGGGATCTGGATGAGGGAACTAAAGCCGTTCAGCTCAGTATGTGGCTAATAGTCTATCCAATAGGGCTTAGGTATTAATAACAGCAATTTCAGGAATTCCAGTTACATAGGTATCTGTTGATCATTCCTTTCTTCTCTCCTCTCTGACCCTACTGCATGTTAATATTTTGACAATATGAACAAGGGATTTTTTAATTTAAAAAAGTATTTTACTGTACTCAAAGTAAGATGATTATAACAGTGTTTGTGTTGGCCGAGGTGATAGTACAGTCAGTAGGGTGTTTGCCTTGCACACTGTCAACCTGGGTTCAATCTTTGGCACCCCATGTGGTCCCCTGTGCCCTGCCAGGAGTGATCCCTGAGTACAGAGCCAGGAATAATTTCTGAGCATCACGGGGTATGGCCCCAAATCCAAAATATTCCCCAAGCCCTCCAAACAGTGCTGGTATTGACACTGTTGGTGTACAGAGTTCCTGCACTTTCACCAGCATCCCTACATCAGTGACCCTCCACCAATGTCTTTGTGTCACTTACCCATTCCCCATTTCCCTTGGCATGCCCACATTGGCTCCTCAGTGCTACAGTTAATGCCTGCCCTAGAGCAGACCATCACCAAATGTTTATTGATAATTATAAAAAAAAATTTCATCCTTTGCTTTTGCGGTAGGGCGTTTGCCTTGCACGCAGCCAACATGGCCGACCCGAGTTCGATTCCTCCGCCCCTCTCGGAGAGCCCGGCAAGCTACCGAGAGTATTCGATATGCCAGACACAGTAACAACAAAGTCTCCAATGGAGACGTTACTGGGCCCGCTCGAGCAAATCGATGATCAACGGGAGGGCCTTTACCTTACCTTTACCTTTGCTTTTGGTTTCTAAATATGAAATTGCTTGTATTCTGGCATTTTCCCCTACAAATCTGTTCATACGGTCTTGGCACAGGCTAAATTGTCCTGGCTTCCAAATGGCTCACCTAGCAACTGCTACAAAGGCCCCTTCTGCCCAGTGACCCCAAGTTCCTCCCGAGTACCTTAATTCTGTCCTTGATTACTGTCTGAATCCTACACAGTTTTAGGGAGTTGTTCTCCCTCTCAATGCAAATAGAGTTGGACTTACTAGCAGAATGGCTGGTTCAGGGCTTGAGAGGGGGGTGGCCAGCGCTGGTTTAGGAAAGTGTTGGTCACCCTCCTCTCAAATAATTACACAGGCCAAAACTCCTGCGGTGAGTCTAGGCTAGTCTTAGATGGAGAGCTCTTGAGAAGCCCTCCCCCACAAAGTCACTCCCCCTACACTCCCCATTACCCTCCTGGGCCCCGTGGCCCTCTACAGGCAAAGGAAACCTCAGCCTGACCAATGCCAGTGATAGAAACTTTTTGGCATGGCTGCCTAAGGTTTTTTCTCTTGTTGCTGGCAACCTCCTCAAAGGCTATGGATTTTCACCCTGAAGGAACTAAAATTATGTCATGGGCCAGAAATGTGGTTCAGCAGTCGAGCATGTGTCTTGTAAGTAAGACAGGTCTTGGGCTCTATCCCCAGCATGGAGGAAGAAAAGAAAGAAAGAAAGAAAGAAAGAAAGAAAGAAAGAAAGAAAGAAAGAAAGAAGAGAGAGAGAGAAGAGAAAGAGAGAAGAGAAAGAGGGAAGGAAGGAAGGAAGGAAGGAAGGAAGGAAGGAAGGAAGGAAGGAAGAAGGGAAGGAGGGAGGAAGGGAGGGAGGGAGGGAAAAAGGGAGGGAGGAAGGGAGGGAGGGAGGGAAAAAGGGAGGGAGGGAGGGAAGAAGGGAGGGAGGGAGGGAGGATGGGAGGGAGGGAGGGAGGAAAAAAGGAAGGAAGGAAGGAAGGAAGGAAGGAGAGGAGGGAAGGAGGGAAGGAAGGAAGGGAGGAAGGGAGGGAAGAAGGGAGGGAGGGAGGATGGGAGGAAGGATGGGAGGATGGGAGGGAGGGAGGGAGGAAGGGTGGGAGGGAGGGAGGAAAGGCAGGCAGGCAGGCAGGAAGGAAGGAAGGAAGGAAGGAAGGAAGCAAGCAAGCAAGCAAGCAAGCAAGCAAGCAAGCAAGCAAGCATGTCACTATTTGGAAAAACGTTTTAAAAATTTAAATCTATCAAAATCATCCAAATATAATTGTGTGTGTGCGTGCGCATGTGCGCGTGCTGAATCTATTGTCAAACACAGCTCAGTGAAAACTTAACCTTGTAAATTCTGTATAAAATTGTCAAGTTAGGGCTGGCGAGACAATGCAGCAGATAAAGCACTTGCCTTGCTCACAGCTGACCTGAGTTTGATCCCCCGCATTCTATATGGTCTCCTGAGCCCACCAAAATTCTTGAGCGCATGAGCATGACCCTGGGCACAGCTGGATGTGGTCCCCAAACCAAAGACAAACAAACAAAAACAAGTCAAGTTAATTAAAGGCTCTTGGCGATGCTGGGCGTCTTCCTACCCTCTCTGCCGGCAACCACAGCAGAGCAGCTCCCATGCCAACATGCCCAGCCCCCATGCTGACAGACTGCAGAGCTCTGCGACTGTGGTAAGTCTGCATATCACCATCACCCAAACCCATTCCCCAATCCCCAGGGCCCCTTGTGTTTCCCGTGATGGCCAAAAGAAGGGAAGCTGGTGTCCTGGTTGAGGAACATGCTACGCCGGAAAATATCCTCTCCTAACCTTTGAGTGTGACATTGGGGTGAGAATTACTGGTTTCTGGTCTTGCCTGAGCAATGTCAATTGAAGCCAAATTCTGTATGCAGGTGATTCTAACACCCTTTCCCAGTTCTGAGACTTCCTTGCATTTCGTTCCAACTCCCTCCAAACACCATCTCCAGAGTCCCCTGACCAGGACTGTCTTTCATGCACTTGAATTCGGGCCCTCTCCAGACCCCTCCCCTCTCAGCTCTACCCCTCAGATTTACAGCCCCTCTTAGTGAACACTGGATTTGTTCTGAATAAGAGAGCTTTGGTGCTAAATCGGTTTACTTTTATTTTATTTATTCATTGTCTTGGCAGACTATATCCAGTGGTGCTTAGGGCTTACTCCTGGCTCAACACTCAGGGGACCATATGAGGTGTAGGGATCAAACCTAGGTTCATTGTATGTGAGGCAAGCACCATACTTATTGTACTATTACTCCAGCCTCAACAGGTTCACTTTTAGACATATTAAATCTGCCTCTACAGGCTTAATTAGAAAGAATGCAAAAGATAAAATGCACCTTGGAAAGTAAGAGGCAAAGACGGCTAAGTCTAGCGCAAAAACAAAACAAAACAAAAAAACACTATCCACTAGGCTCAGGAGAGCTCCTTTTTGGAAGTGGATGGAACACAGGGCAAGTTGGCGACTGAGCTTCCTTTCCCAGAATCATCCCCAGATATCCCAGGACATTTCTGTTCCAGACACTGATGCTGAGGAAGATGTGATGGGGCCAAGGAGTACACCATAGGCGTGGCACCCTGGGTTTTGGTGCTGTAAACTTGCATATGGTACTCACTCAGGCACCTTTAGCTGTGAGGTCACCAAACTCAGAAAAGTCAGGACTGCACTCAGTGCATGTGGGACACAAGATTTGAACTTGTGACTGCATTCTTGCAAGGCAAGTGCTTCAAGCCACTGCACTGTTCCTCGAGCACCCAAGGTTAGATCGGTCACGGTCACGGTCGCGGTCCTCCCGTTGTTCATCAATTTGCTCAAGCGGGCCCAGTAACATCTCCATCATGAGACTTGTTGTTACTGTGTTTGGCATATTGAATACGTCACAGGTAGCTTGCCAGGCTCTGCTGTGCGGCCGAGATACTCTCGGTAGCTTGCCAGGCTCTCCGAGAGGGGCGGAGGAATTGAACTCGGATCGGCCATGTTGGCTGCATGCAAGGCAAATGCCCTACCGCTGTGCTATCGCTCCAGCCCAAGGTTAGATCATTGTCCCAGATTCTAACAGTCTTGTGAGTCGGAGCAGTCTCTATCACATACCGTATTATTCCCTATTCAGATCTTTGCATTAGCCCTTCTGTGTCCTCTGAGAATGTTCTGTGCCTTCCCATCTATACATGGAAGTCTGCCTGTGCTTTGGGGCCCAGGAGAAAACCCATCTCTTCAGCCTCCCAGGTGCCTGGATGGATGTAAATCCTGCCTCTTCCAGCTCAGTAAACCTCTGCATCTCTCAAGTCACCCATTCGAGCCTGGGCCCACTGTCGCCACACTATCCCTAGACAGCTCTAATTCACCAAGAGAGAGGACTGCATCCTGGCTGGTGCTCTCCCCCAAAAAGAAATCAAGGAGCATCTTTTTGTTTTATGTTTTGGGTGGGTCCACACTTGGCAGAGCTCATTCAGGACTTACTCCTGGCTCTGCTCTTAGGAATCACTCCTGGTGGGACTTGGGGTGCAAGGCAAGTGCCCTACCTGCTATACTATTGCTTCAATCCTGAAATCAGGAAGACTCTTAACTGAAAAACTCCAGGAACTTGCTGACATCCACCTCAGAGAGCCCCTTGAATATGGAGCAGCCTGAGACGCCTTTCCTAGGGAGAAAGAGCAGCCTCAGAGACTTTCCTAGACTCATTTCTGCTCTACCTGTGACTTTATGGAACCCTGCAATGGACATCCTACTCTGCCTATGTGTGGGGCACTCTCTCCTGATCTCAGTTCCGGTGATCAAGTCACCAACCAGCAAAATCCCTAGAAATTGTTTAAAACAAACAGGGCCATGGGCCAGAGAGATAATATTGCAGGCAGGGCATTTGTTTTACACGTGGCCCACCTGGCATCCCATATGGTCCCTTGAGCTAGTCAGGAATGATTCCTGAGTGCAGAACTAGGATTAATCCCTTAGCAGAGCCAGGTGTGGTCCCAAATAAAGACAACTAAATAAAAATAAGAACAGAGAGGCAGTAGAGGGTTTTAGGCACTTCCTTAAACAGGGCAGATTCCAGTTTGATCCCTGGCACAGCATATTGTCTCCTTAGCACCACCAGAAATGATTTCTGAGTGTGACCCAACTCCCTCCCCAAACACTCAAAAACCAAAACAAATAAATTTAAAGATGGGAGAAGATAAAAACAAATGCATAAACTAAACCCAAAACAGGATATGAGAGAGAGAGAGAGAGAGAGAGAGAGAGAGAGAGAGAGAGAGAGATTGCATGGATTGCATGCAGCTGACCCTGTGTGAGTCCCTGAGGCACCACTGAACTTGACCCCAGTCTCTCCACCCCTCCAAAATGAACAAAAGAAATAAAAACAAGAATCAGAGAGATAGTACAGAGGTTAAGGTACTTGCCTTGCACATGGCTCACCCCTTTTCCAACCCTGCACCACATATGATCCTTTTAGCACTACCAGAAATGACCCCTGAGACCAGAGCCAGGAGTAAACCCTGAACATTTGGGGGTGTGTAGCCACAAAAAGAAAAAAACACTAAAGTTTAACTAACTAAAGAACAGGTCGTAAGTGGAATCCTTCATGCCAAACCCCACAAAAACACGAAACTAACTGCAATTTCAACCCATCTTCAAAGAGTTTAAAGTAAGCAATCTACAGGGGTATGGTGCCGCCAGCAGGTCAATCTGTACCTGTGAGGCGAGTGCATCAGCAGCCTGATGGCGCCTTCAGACTTCCAGATACCCCAAATTTGCTGCTGTGCCTTTGGCCAGACCCCAAAAACTTGGGGCAAAGTTTACCAAGAAAGTAAACAGCCAAAAGTTAGGTATGTGGGAGACACACCCACAAACCACCTCTAGCTCAGCTATATAATTGGAGGCATGGCCTCTCTGGTTCCTGATCACACTGCTTCATGGCCATGATCCCAGAAACTCAGAAACAAATCTCGAAATCCAGCGACCTTTGGCAGAAATGCATCCAGTCCCTGCAGTAGGTTACCAGTGCTGGGCCAACCCAGGTGGGAATAGTTTTTATGCCTTGGCCTGTTCCCCCTGGCGGTTTGGTGGCCGCCATCCTCCAGAGGCCACTGGACAGTCGGGTTTGGGCCCACAGTGACGAGACACGCAGGGCCTCACGGGATAGGAGTGAAGCCGGTCCTGTCCTCCCCACCCCAACGAGACCCCAAGTCATCGCCTACGAACAGCCTCTCTGGCTCCTGATCAAGCTGCTTAACAGCCATGATCCCAGAGACTCGGAAACAAATCTCGAAACCCAGTGGCTTTTGGCAGAAATGTGTCTGGACCCCACAATAGGTTACTGTCGCTGGGCCACCCCAGGGGGGAAAGGCTGTTGTCCCTCCTCCTGCTCCCCCTTGGCGGCTCAGTAGCTGTCATCCTCCAGAGGCCACTGGACAGTCAGGCTTGGGCCAGCAGTGACGAAACTTGGGCCTCACGGGATGGGGGTGGAGCCGGTCCTGTCCTCCCTGTCCCAACAATATCCCAAGTCATCGCCCACGAATGGCCTCTCTGACTCCTGATCAAGCTGCTTAACGGCCATTATCCCAGAGACTCAGAAACAAATCTCAAAACTCAACAGCTTTTGGCAGAAATCCCTCCAGATTTAGGTGTTAAAATTTTGGAATTTCAAAATCGCATGGCCACTACTGCAGCCACGCGACATCATGTGTTATTCATAACCATCAATAGAACACAAATTGTCTACTGTTGCCTTTTCAGCAGATCTGAGTGTTGGGGTAAAATCTCAAATAATAATGGTGTCAAAATATTGAATGTGATCAAAGTAGAGAGTAATGTGGAAATCATCTGCCCCACAGGTAGGTGGAGGGTGTGGGATGGGGGCATACTGGGGTTGTTGGGGATGGAGAATGGGCACTGGTCAAGGAACGGGTGTTTTATTGTATCACCAAGACTTAGACCCAAAAGCTTTGTAACTGCTCTGATGGTGATTCAATAAATAAAATTATAAAAAATGAAAAAAAAAAGCAAAGTGGAGTTTATTCACAATTCAATCAGCTAATCGTGGCTGAATAAATAGCAGTACTCCTACATAAAAAAAAAAAATAAAGAGTAATCTTGGGGCTTCACTGATAGTACAGCAGGGAGGGCATTTGTCTTGCCAACAGTAAACCTGGGTTCATTCCCTGGCATCCCATACAGTCCCCTGAGCACCACCAGAAGTAATTCCTGAGTGTAGAGCCAGGAGCAACTCCTGAGCATTGCTGGGTGTGACCCCCCAAAAAAGACAAAATAAATAAATTAAAAAAGCAGTCTAGATAAAACCCAGCTCCCAGAAAAGAACAGCACAGAGTCTCCTGCCCTGGTGCCTGGCTGTCCTCACCGGGGTCCCTTGGAGGGGGATGGGTTGAGTTTCCCTTCCTGCACCGAGCAGAGCCCCGGCATCTGAAGACCTCCGGAACCAGCCACAGTCATGCTTAAGACCACTTTCCACACATTCGGACGAGCCTCATGCATGAAGGAACGGGCAGAGGAACCCAGGTGTGCAGGACCCGGGCCTGAAATCTCCAAGCCTGCTCGGATCGGGACTGGGCCTCCTCCACCCAGATCCCTCATCTTCCAATAGCTAGGTGTTACACCCACCAATTGCCCTCAGCGTTGCGGCCCTGTTATCCCATCAGTGGTCAAGACCCAGGGACTATAAAACCCAGCTCCCGGAAGTCCCTGGCGGAGCTACTGAGTGTTTCCTACCTGTAGGGCAGAGTCTGGCAAGTTCCCCATGGCGTATTCAATATGCTAAAACCCAGTAACAATGATGGGTCTCATTGCCCTGACCCTGACGGAGCCTCCAACTTGGCATTTGCTAAAATCTCAGGGCTAGAACGAATGGAGATGTTACTGGTGCTTGCTCGAGGAAATCAATGAACAACAGGATGACAGTGATACAGTGAAGCAGTCTGGACTTTCCCCAGGGAGGTGACCTGCAGGGGAAGGCCTCCTGGAATGCGGGGGAGGGGTGACTCCCAGCTTGGTGCATGGGGCTATGTGGGTGCTTGGTTTTAAGTCTGTCCTCCTGAATACCAATCACGAGCTTGGTCCCTTGAGTCAAGCCCCCGTGAGCCAATCTTCTTTTTCCCCTTCTCCTGGGTGGTTATGCCTGAGATGGTCTTTCTTTCCTTAGTATCCTTGTGGTGCTAACTATCAATGCCTTCGCTTTTATACAACTTTGTGTAGCTCAGTACGGATTAAACACAGGAACCGAATTTGCAGAAACTTTTTAAAAACCACCATTGGACTGGGGGGTGGGGGAAATAACAATACTTTTTCTTTGTTTGTTTGGGGGGTCACACCTAGCAGTGCTCAGGGTTCACTCCTTGGCATTGCACTCAGGGATCACTCTTGGTAGAATAGGAGGAAGCTGGGGATTGAACCCGAGTCAGCAGTGTGCAAGGCAAACGCCCTGCCTGCTGTATTATCACTCCGTCACCTCAACTCTTTTCTTTCTGGCTCTGAAAGCTTGGCACCCCTCCACCCACCTATATCCACATTCCTGCCCCCGCTGTGAGCACAAGAGACCTGGCCAGCCCCGCCCCTTTGGGCCTCGGAGCCCGGCTGCCCCAAATCTTAGGATGAGTTTTAATTTCGTTTTTGTTTGTTTATTTGGTCAGTATTTGGAGACTGCTCCTAGTTCTGTGGTCAAAATGATTAATCATACCCAGGTTTATTTCTTGTTATTATTGTTATTTCATGTACACAGTTAAAAAGGCTGCCCCTTCCCTAAAATTAAACAGCTAAAATACAAGACACATTTTAATTGGTACCTGAAAGTTGCAGAGAAAAGAAATAATTATAGTGTTCTTTTGGGTACATTGCTGACTTTTTTTTAAATCTCAATATTAGTCTTTCAGACACTCCATTCTGGATCCCCCACATTCCACTTAGGGTGTGTAATTTCTTTTTACATTGTGGTATGCTCTCTCTTTTTCTCGTGCTCTCTCCCTTGCTCTTTGCGCTCGCTCTCTCTCTCTCTCTCTCTCTCTCTCTCTCTCTCTCTCTCTCTCTTTCCACAATCTCCTTAAAGTTAGTATTCTCCCTCAATAAAACTATTTTAAAAACATATCAGTTTCTCCTCATGGGAAGGGGGGCGTTCCCAGCTCATCCTTGACGCCCTACTGAGGTCACGAGTTGCCCCCAACGAGCGGCTCTCCGGCACGGCCATGGCTCCAGAGCACAGAAACCAATCTCATAATTTTCTGACTCTCAGCAGAAATACTTCCAGGCTTTGAATTAATAAAGTAAAATACCAGAAATCCAAAATCGCGGCTGCGCAACATCATTTGGTTCTTGTAACCAGCTGTAGAAAACAAATTATTTCACAATGCCTTTTCAGCATGTCAGATTTGGGGGTGTAAACTCTAGATATAATGGTGCATCTTTTGTCAAAACAATGAATCTAATCAAAGTAGATAGAGTGTTAGCTAGAATTCATCTGCCTCACAGGCATTGGGAGGGTTGGGGGGGGGGGTTATTGAGGTTCTTGGTGGTGAAAAATAAGTATTGGTCAAGGGAAATGTGTTTGATAATTGCATGACCGAGACTTAAACTTGAAAGCTTTGTAACTTTTCCCACAGTGATTCAATTAATTAATTAATTAATTAAAAATAAATA